AAAAAATGGTAATCACTTACAAAAGGTGGAAATGGACTTTAAGCCTTGCAGTGTGGGGGTTAGCTCCACTGCAAGGGTTAAGTTTTATTCTGCCTGGAGCTCTTCTTTAACCACTTGCTGTCCGGAGCAATTTGTTATGATTTGCACACACATGATATTATCTGACTTTTTGGCTAGAAAACAGCTTCAAACCCCCAAAACAATGATATATTTTCTGAAAGCAGATGCCCTGTAGAATAAAAAGATGCTAGGTGCAATCTTTTATGTTGTTATGTAAGACGGGGTCACGCCGGTGTAAATAGATACCAAACATGTCAAGCCTTAAAATTGAGTTCGCCCGTGAAGCTGCAAAAAGCTTCAATATCCAACCTAACAGGGATTAATGGCTCTAGAATGATTTTCTCACTCTGACGTTCACGTCACTTTTTTTGGCTTGTAGGCACATGGATGTGTGTTTGCGTGTGTATGTGCGTGCACGTGTTACTTTAATATTGTTTTAAATTTGTAAACACTTTTTTTTTACACTAACTTTTTTGCTATCACATCGGGGGGCTAAGAAGTCCCCTATGTAATAGCAGATAGGGTGTGACAGGTCCTCTTTATGGAGACATCAAGGGTCTTTCAGACCCCTAATGTCACCTAGGGACCCCAAAGAAGCTGGGGAAGCAGATATCTGCTTCCCCAGCTTCTTCTCCTGGTTTTAAGAGCCGGAGAATGTAAACAATGACACTAGAAGCGATGCAATACACATCACTTCCAGATCATGTGATCAGAGGAGAGATCGGTGGCTGGAAGCCACTGGTTCTCTCTCCGATCGTTGCGGAGACACTGGCACAGGGCACAGCGGAGCCCGGGGAAGCCGGTGGCAGTGGAGGGGGTGGGGGCAGCACATGCCGGCAATCGGTACCTGATCGGCCATTGCTGGCTGTTCAAAATGACACCAAGAACACGGCTGCAGTAGTGATGACTCCAATGACTTCCAGCAGCAAATGTGTGTCCAGAGCACAGCCACACATGCAGGGATTTGAATGAAAGCTTCTGTGTGTGGCAGTGTGGGGTCAGTCTGAACCAGGAATAGAGTCCATGATAGAGAGGAGAGAGGATTTGCCTGTCCTGTTCTGTGCCGTCATCCAGTGTGATGTGCAGAGGAGGTGAACACATGCCTGGGGTTCCCGTCATTACCCTTGTATGCAGTTTGTTGTTTAGGGAACTTTACAGATTAGTGATGATCTATAAATACCTGTTGTGTTGTTTCTGAATTTAGACCAGTTTACTGTAAGGATGAGCAAATACAGTAACTTTTTTGCTGGTCTGTTCACTAGAAGTGAGCACAGACAGCTGCACAGCACTGATATTTGGAAGTGTGGGATGAGAGCACGGGACCCGTGTGGTTATTCTCATCCAACAGTAATTAAAGGGTATCTATGTTCAAAAACTAAAAATAAATCTGTATCTCTATATTGAATTTCCAGAATCCCAATCCTAATAACCATGTCCATCTAGGAGTTTGTAAACGTACTTATTGAAGATGCCTATAGGGTGGACTTCCTCAATGCACAATTTCACTCAGCCCTGCAAATATGCACTTCCTGCACTTATAACTAAGCCAGACATCAGAACTACAACTCAATGTCTGAACAATGTAACATCATCATTGTTTGCTGGAAGAAATGCATGATGGGATATGTAGTCTTGAAAGATTGAGATTGCATCACATCAAGTAGTAGGGAAAGAGACGCAAAGCACACTGGGAATCCAGGAAGTTGTTGGAAGTGATGAGTAGACAGAAGGCAGCACTCACTACATAAAAGGGATTTTTTTTCTAGTAAGCTTTAAATACATTATCAAAAACAACTCTAGTATGAATTCCTATTAGAATGCTGATGTTATAACAGGATGGTATAAGCCAGACTTTACAAGTCCTATAATATGTAAATATGGGTGATCTGGCTGAAGGGTTGGCAACTTTCGCATTCCAAAGGATCTCCACAGTATCCTTGGCTGGACAGTGAACACAATAGATGTAGGGACTGAAGTGCCACACCAATTATTCCAGACAGGGCTGCCAATACAGGTAGCTAATTTGTACCTGGCTCGGGCCCCATCAAGTCAGGGCCACTTTGGGCAGATGAAACCCATAGGCATATTTCTCCAGAATGCATTTACCCACCAGACCTGTCTATATGTATATGTTACTAAAGCAACGAGCACCTGCACTAAACTGTATTACATAAAACACATTAAAATATATAAACAACGGTACAACCACATTAACCAGATTAGTGGGCTAGCAGGGTGAATTTATGTTATTATGAAAATACACTGAGTGGCCAGATTATTATGACCACCCCATCAGTACTTCGTTGGGCCACGAGATGACTCCACGAGATGTTGAAAGGTGATGCGAGGAATCTGACTGTTGCCCTTCTGTTGTCTTGTACCAGTCTTGCCACTTTCCGTTCTGCCCTAACATTGACTAGTCGCTGACGGCCACAATTCTCACGTTTAGACCCAGATTTTAGAGCTCCTCTTGAACATTTAACAAATTCTGCTGTTTTGCTGATACTCGCTCCATGGCTCGCGCCAACAATCATCCCACGTTCAAAGGCTGTTAAATCGCGTTGTTTACACATATCTTCAGAAAAAAATCACTTCTACTGTCGTGGTAAACAACTTGCTTCCCTTTTTATAATGGTCTGGCCCTCTAGCAACTTCAGCGAAAAATTATAGCTAATTATAGTTAATTTGCCTACAAACGTCAGGTGGTCAAAATAAACTGGCCACTCAGTGTATAATAACACTAATAATAATTATAATAGTAATTATTATCACAGTATTATTATTATTGAGGATTTATTTACAGCCAACAGATTGCACGGCACGTTATAATAATTTAACATACCACTAAAACAACAAGTGTCATCGGCAATTCGTAAATTTAATTGCAAATTTTGCTCCTCCACCTCTCTTTTTGATCATTTTATTAACAATGCATATTTTCGTTGTTGGTAGCATCTAAAATTGCTTTGTAGAGTGGATTGTTGGAAGGATGACATTCCGTAATAAAATGAAGCATTAAGTAAGGGTTAGCCAGGATATAATAAATCACTTTCAGAAGGAAGTCTTGAAATACCTGGCCTGCTTCTTTCAAACAAGGTTTACATGAAAGTGACAGCTAAATAAGAAGGCCTAGGCAGACACGAGCTGGAAGCTATCTTAATTAAAAGAAAGTTAACTTTACAAGACAGCGAGCATTCTAACATACACGATGCTGGTAATATTAACAGCAATAAACTCACCTGCTGTCAACATCAGTGAAATGTGGCTGCCCGATAAAATATGGCTGTAAGAGGTCTGGTGTCCTTCTAGTTTATTAGAATTTATATATTTTTTTAATTAATTCCAGTTATATCCAGGCCTAGGCATGTAGTCTGGCAACCCTGGAAGATGTGGAAAGATTGGTTGAGATAGTGTTACTTGTCGATTGTTCCCTACCCTTTGACACTGTGCCCTTGTTTATGTATTATACATTTTCTTGTTTATTGACCTGAGAGCCCGTTCACACCGGGGCGGTTCGGCCACGCGGATCCACCGACATGAACGATCCCATACATTGCTATGGTGACCGTTCGTGCGACCGTGCGGCTCAACGCCCCCCCGCCCAAACTGCTCCCTGCAATATTTTTGCCACGCTGATCAGTGTGGTTTCCATACAGCTTTCAATGGAACCGCGCAGATCAGCGCGGTTTTGGGTGTTTTTAATTGTGTTTCAGTGCTGAAATGCAATTAAAAACTCCCAAAACCTTCCTTTTGAAATCAGCACAGTAATTGCGCTGATCCACAACCGCTCTGATGTGAATGGGCTCTAATGAACATTTTCTTTATGGAATAAAAAGAGATAGCAAGGCTCACCTTTTAAAGGGACCATAACACTAAAATACAGCTCTGTAGTAAAGTGTTCCTGCAAAGAAGATATGGAACACTAACTTCTCCTGGTTTCCACGCTACAGACTTCCACAGTAGTGAAGAAAATCCTCCAGCTAAAGATCCTGCAGAATCCATCACTTCTGGGGCTGTTTACCTCCTGGGCCTCCCACTGTGTGTTGTGGTTCCTCCCGTTAACCCCTACATCACTACTACAGTATGTCCTAGTGACATAGGGCCAGCAGATTGAACCATTGAGTGATGGGAGGGGGGTGGACACCAGAATTTAACACTCCCACAAGTGTTGGACACTGCAGGATCTTTGTTGGCTCTTTCTATTCACTACTGCTGAGATAATTGGCACCGACGGTGGAGACGGTAAATATTTATTCTTTTGCACTATGAGCTTTTTGGCCAGTTTAACAAAAGGGCAACATTGGACAACAGGATCACTTCAAACACAACAAAAAAAGACAAAAAATATTGTGTTACAAGTGTAAAGCATCATGAAGTTTTACCAAGCGCCACCAGACAGCACAGCAAGGTTGTTGACCTGACTTTTTTCCCACTGGAGTTAAGCAGCCCAGCTTGGTCACCTTCCAACCTCCAGCCTGTGATTAGAAGTGACAGATTAGGAGCACACTGATGAGGTAATTGTTATTTCCTCCTGTAAGCATGTCCCTTGTCAGAACATGAACACTGCAGCAGACCTGATTGGCTCTTCTACTGCCACTTCCATTCCAGAGTGCTGCTGTTCAGGGATTTAGACACTTAAGTCAGCTGCATTTAAAATCCATTTCATGATTTTATAATAAATGGATACCTGTGTTAATTTGTAGTTCTATATCTCCCTGAAGCTCATCTTTAAAGCAGAATTCCGAACAAATTAAAAATGTAAGCCTTGCAGTGGGGCTACCCCTGCACTGCAAGTGATAGGTTCTAGAATGTGCTATGTCTTTGTTGTCAGTCCACAACTAAAATGTTTCTACCAAGGTAATGATCAGCTACCAGAAAGTTAGTTTGAAAAGTTAATTGTTTTTTTTGTACTCAGTAGTGTTTTTTTTCTCATTTTACAGGTTACCTTTGGTGGTACCTTCATCGGCATTGGGCGTAAAACTCCAGATTGCCAAGGAAACACAAAGTACTTCCGCTGCAAATTCTGCAACTTCACGTACATGGGCAACTCTTCAACCGAGCTGGAGCAGCACTTTCTAAAGACGCATCCTAACAAAATGAAAGTGTCCTCTGATTCTGGTAAACCATCTGAGAAACCTGCCAATAAATCCAGCCCCATCCCACGTTCTTGTGAGCCTGGAGATATGGGAAAGTGGCAAGACAAAATCACTGTTAAAGCAGCAGATGATATGCCAGTTGGATATTCAGTGCCAATTAAGCCTGTAGATTCTTCCATGCAGAATGGGAACGATGACACCAACTACTACTGGTGCAAGTTCTGTAGTTTCAGCTGTGAATCTTCCAGCAGTGCCAAACTTTTAGAACATCACAGCCAACAGCATGGGGGAGGGGTGCCAGAGAGCCCAAATTCGGATCCCAATGACAAGATCTTCAGGAGATCAGTCATTAATCAAAATGAAATTGCCAAAAATTCTGATGAATCACTCTCAGCAAAAGTAGAGAAAGGATTGGCCAAAAAGAAAGATCTCTCAAATAAACCAGCTGAGGATTTAGTAGTCACCAGCTACAATTGTCAGTTCTGTGACTTTAGGTACTCTAAAAGCCATAGCCCAGAGGTTATCTTGGTTGGGCCTCTTCTACGCCATTACCAACAGCATCACAATATTCACAAGTGTACTATTAAACACTGCCCATTTTGTCCCAGAGGGCTCTGCAGCCCCGAAAAGCACCATGGAGAGATTTCTTACCCTTTTGCTTGCAAAAAAAGTAATTGTTCTCACTGTGCTCTCTTGCTATTGCACTTGTCTGCTGGGGTGACAGGTAGCCCACGAGTTAAACACCAGTGTGATCAATGCCCATTCTCCTCTCCTGATGTAGATGTGCTCTTGCTTCACTATGAGAATGCCCATGAAGGCCAGGCTTCTGAAGTCAAGCAGGAACCGAATCACCAGCAAGCCATTGATGGACAGCTGACGGTCAAAGAAAGCAAGGAACACTCATGCACCAAATGTGACTTTAGCAGCCTGGGAGAAGAAGATCTTTCCCGACACTACAGGTATGCTTAGAATATTTTTTAAAAATAAAAAACTCCTTTTCACAGTTACAGGTAAGATGACCTTTATGGAATAAACAGGTGCTGGTACTGATTGTTTTCTTGGTCATGCACAACATAAAAATTACGGTGCCACCAGTATTAAGAATTGACAGGATCTACCTGCATCTCTAGTGCTAAATGGACAGGCCACCATGCTCAATATATTTCTAATTCAAGTAGATGGAGAAAGTCACTTCGGTGACTGCAGTTAGAATTTTTCTCTCTTATCTGTTCAAAAACAGATTCCTCTTCCCCAATGATCATCTAAGTGTTCCTTTAAATCTTGCCCATTTTAGCCACACATGAAAGTAAATAGTACAGGCCATTATACTTTTATTTGGGGCTCCTAATAACTTCATGTTGAACAGTATTCAATAATTATCCTGCTTGTAAAGCCCAACTCCAGCCAATTTGTTTGTTTTAGCATTTGATAGAGTGGGTACGTGCCATTGGGGAGACTTTCCTTCACTTCCTGTCCCTGTGACGTCCTTACAAGAAAAAAAGGGAGCATTTGCCATCAGGACAGAAAGGCACAGACAGTAATAAATACAATGTCAGAAGTTCAAACCCTTCCTCCTACTAAAAATGTGTTTTTGTTCCTGCTAGAAGGATTTTCCTTAGCTTCCATCCTGATGTTGATGTGAAATTTCCTTGTTAGGGACACAAATGGCAAAATAAAACAGACAGAGGCCTTACACTATACAAAAACAAGGTTGTAGGTAGAGTTATACTTTAACATACTGTACATATTAGCAAGTTTTTGGACAATATCAAGGACTCGGTCATTAACTATAAAAATGGTGTACTATTTTTGTCCAGGCCTATCTTTAAAGTAAATGGCAAACTAAAATGTTGAAGAGACCTGGTCAGGTCTCTAAACTAAAAAAAAATCAAGCAATACCTTGCAGTAGAAGATAGCATTTATTCACCTTTCCTTTTCTACTCCATTCCAGCACTGCAGATTCGGAAAGACTATTCGGCATTTAACACTTCCAGGAATGTTAGATGTCTGAGCCCCCAGGTTGCTTCCTCCAATACCCTAAGTCACTAAAGGACTCAATAGTGATGTATTTGGTCAGGTCTGCAGTGCTAGAACAGAGGAGAGGTAGGAGAAACGAGCCA